CAAAATTTTAATTACTGTACACTGCATGGTGTGATCTAATCATTTGCCCAATCAGAACCATTTAATTTCAGTTGAGATTTGCTATTTTTGACAGTGGTACTTCAGTAGTACTATTTTCTTACGTGATTTTTAACTTCATTCAAAATATTAATAATTCAACATTTTCATAGCTTGATATTAGGTATACCTGCCCGCATTTTTCTCATTGTGCGCTGCATGGACTGACCTATCCTCAGTGGAGATAAGCTAGCTTTGTACGTGAATCGACATTATTTTCGTACCTATTTCCTTAGTATCTGTGATAGCGCATAAATGTTGCTAAGTCATGAAGTTTTGCTATTTCGATTTATCTGTACTGAAAGTTTACGGCTAATGAATCCATTCTTATTTTGAGATTATGTAGGCCATGAGTTTATGTATGTTTTTTTTTTATGTGTGATTGATCATCTGTATGTGTGTGATTAATGCATACAACAGTTTTTGTCAGTCTAAGCTATTTGTACATGCATTGATATCAAAGATAATATGTAATGTCATATGGATTTGTGGTTTTGCGAACAATATGCAAATATAAGAAGTAACACATCTAAGTGTATGAAAGGATATTCAAATTCATAGATCTAGTGATTATCGTGTGAAGAACAGTGACTCAACAGTGGGACTTAAGTGGGTTGGGACCCCTCCCCAGAATTTTTATTTTTATCCATATACTATTTTATCCCGGGGGCGGGGGCCCGCTTAGGACAAGGGATCCGTGGAAATGGTTCAACCAGTCCCTGTGGTAGTGGTAAGTGGATAATGCAACATTTTAAGTCGGTGCTCATAATATATGAATTTGGTTTATCAATGTTTATAGGGCCTATACGTTGAGCATTATTTACCACCATCTTGAGTTAGTCTTAAACTTGGATTACTGCATTAACATATGCAATATTGAAATAAGATCTATTTGTAAAAACTAAAGAGGTGGAATAAACATAAGATAATTTGTTAGTTAAATATGCAGAGTATCCAGTTAAATACATAATAATATTACTTCAGCCTGGAATTTGAACCGCTCTTCACATGGGATAGTATTATTTGTGTATCTGTGTGAGTAAGTGTGACATTGCGACTTAATCCTCTTGTCAGTGATGCAGGATCTGGTAAACTGGTTGGCCAAACGTTTAGTCGATCAGATATAAAGATAATCTTATAGTTAGACTTTTAGGTAAGATGGCACTGTTCCGGTATATCATGAAAATGCACTGACTTTGCGCGTATACGTTGCCCAATAACCTATAAGGGTGTATAACTACCTCTTGTTCATAATTCATATTCACAAAACAGATCAGAAAATCAATGAGGTACTCGTATAAAATGCAAGAAAATTGTGTTCGATCTCTTTAATTTACCTACTTAAGCATACATTGTTAAACTCTCGCTTCCCCTTTTTATGCTCCTCTACAATAAGTGTATTGACATTTATAATATACTTGTATTATATATATACATACTCTTCTTTACATCTTAATATATCATTCTGATACAACTTAAAGATACAGTAACCTGATAAAACACACTCGACCTATATACTTTACAATACTACTGATATCTTAAAGGAGGTGTACTACGTAATGATTCAAAAGTAAAGGCTATATTATGGATGATTATGCAATCTTTTTCGTATTGCATTAGTCTTCTTCATAGTCTTTATTAGCCTTATCAGGTGCAAAAAAGTAGGATGTAAAACTTCATTCCATTTCAATTTCAAAGTACATAGGATAAGTCGTCTGTGTACTCCAGTCGTTAAAACCCTGCGATTGGTCATATTTTCCAAGATACCACCAGTTGCTCTCAGATTTGGAAAGTCGCAAGGTCCTTAAGAATCTCTTCAGAAAATAATATGAATGGTGTAGCATACTTCTGAATTGACTAAAACGTCATTTGATTTATTTTACCCTTAAAATTAAACTATTAAAATTGGAATAAAAAGTTTACTTAAAAATATTCAATGAACACTAAAGCTGTAAAAATGACTTTAACACGAGAGTAATGTCCCTTGATTAATTTCTTTTCAAAATGTTTAATAAAATTTGATGGTGTAGAAATCATTTTCACGCTCTGTTCAATTCCATTGACGTCTTCAAAATACTACAACACTACATAGTAAATCTCATATACTAAACCACAAAACTGTTTGTGAATATAAATTGAAAGGCGAATATCTTGTAAAGAATTTGTCAACTTTTCTTTGGTCTTTGAATAGTTTGTAAGTGTTTTAAAGATAGCTCTTCACCACATAATAAAACTAATCTACATATAAAAACTGTTTTATGAGAAATAAATTGATAAATAAGATAAGAAACAAAGAAATTTTAAACAATTTTTGTTTGATATTATTTAGATTTTGTGCACACGTTTTATAGACTATATATTATGAATGGTTTGAAAGCGTTCTTACTATAAAAGAACACAACGCAACTGATATACATGCATGAATGAAAGCGTTTTATAAAGTAAATATCAAGAGGTAAAATGAAAGGAATTGAATATTGGAGACATTCGGAATATTTTCAGATATTTCAAACGATCTCCACTACTTTTGGTTGCGAATATATTTATTCGCTGGTTATCGCTATGGTGAGAGAGCAACTTCACACCACGTATTCTGGAAACGATCTTAGAACTAGAATGTCCCAAATTCTTATCTTCTAACATTGATTTAGGACGTCGTAGTGCTAAGATCGTTTCGGGAATACGTGGCCAGATATGTTTTAAAAGACTGAAATGTAAAAGTTTTCAGATAAGCACCTCAACCAGTTTTCAATACTATACTGTGTGCAATGAAATAATTATAGCCACGAAAAACGGCATTGCTTTACATTGTTTCTAGGTTTGTTCACCGATCAAATCAACAGATTAGTTTTGTATGTCGGCCGCCTCAATCCTCAAGGACTGTGGCTCCTAAAGACAGCAACTCTTATTACTAGAATTTTAATTATAATGGAGCCCAAATTATTTGAATAGACTCTTGTTTATTCATAAATTCATAAGTGTTTTACAAGCACCACTCTTGTTAAGGTAAAAATAACTGGTTAAATAGGACTTTATACACATGAGCTACACTCTTTAGAAACACTCAAATCATGAAAATTGTTATTTGATAGCGATACATTAAATAAGTACGAAGACCGAAATGAATTTCAAACAGCTATCATTGAACAAGGAATCTTTGTTTTGACTGGAATTTGCTTTAGGTGGATATTTTTCGATAGGTTAAATAAACGATCTAATGCAATATTATTATAGACTGCAGTTTAAGCAACAGAGTGGTTCGATCGATGGAACAATAGTTTTGGTCTGAATGTTTACTTGTTTGTTACTGAATTATTTCCCTTCCTTCAAACGGTTTGAAGTCAATGTTTTCAAGGGAAAGGATCGGTGCATATTATTCCATTGGAGATCAATAGTGTGTCATTGCTACCTTACCACGAAAGTATCTATACAAAACCTGATGAATTACTTGGCACTATTTTGCAGATGCTCGAACAACTGTGAACAGCATTGCAGAGATCACAAAATTCATATGATGAAGGTCACATGAGTTCAGTCAACTTTGCACTCTTTTCGGATTGCAACTGTTCAAAATGGACTTGAAGTGGGTGGGCAAAGTCACTGAAAATGGGCGAAACTTCGACACGGCGAATAATATAGGCCTACGAATATGATAGACTCATATCGGATTGGAAATCGGATAAACATTCCTTACCATGACCAGCTTGTTTTAGAAATGGGGATCTATAATATATTTGGGGGATGTAGGCTAACTCATTGTACAGGATCAATGCAAGGTAACCGATTAGTCCACTAAATTCATTAGTATCAGTCTGTTGTATGAACTACATGATCCATAATGTTGTTCTAGTATTCTCTCAATTTTTGTATCTCGCTGATACAATAGAAAGATTGGCTTAAATATCAGTCTGTTGCAATGTTACTTCCGGTTGACAGTCCCCATGGTCATGTCATACATATTACCCTTTCAGACATAAATTCATGTCGAAGATTTTATGTTACAAGAGTTGAGTCCATTAGTGAAGTTGTCTGATAATAATTAAGGTTATACTAGAATCTTATTGTAATGCGATTATTTAATGACCGTTGTGGGACCTCTTGGACTAGATTTCATAGATTTTATAGACTTTATCTGTATAGTACTCCCTCCCCTACTATCCTATATTTCACAATAATTCACAAACCAGGTCAACATCCTTGGGGAAACAAGGAAGTACCAGTACATATTAAGTACATTCAGGGAACTTCCTTATTGGGCTAATGCTGGCGGGGAACACCATGCAGTATGCATCGAGGGAAATTTCGTGATAACCCCTTTACTCTTCATAGAAATGAAATGGAATTCTGCAATAATATAGTTGCTACGGTCTACCAGGCAACACCATGCAGTATATAGTCGAAGACGTTTCTTACCAGTGGCTGAGCCAGGTTTACGTCGAAGGCGGGTGAGGGCGTAATATCTGAGAATTTCTAACCTATTTGTGAGATTTGGCCGCGTCACTGTTTCTTACTGCTTTCAAATACAATGATGGAGGAATACAACTCATGCAAGTAAATGTATATTATACATTATAGTTATTATATTTAAAAGAGAAAAGAAAAAAATATAATAAAGTTATTAAATAAATATATATTTTGGAATAAAATTAATGACATTAAACAATCGATCTCAGTTTGCAACTAAGGTGCCCTCTCACTACAGAGATTACTAGTTGCGTATGTTTGCGGATAATGAAAAATTCCGACCGCAACTCACAAAAGTTGGGTTAAAATATAATAACCGCTATTCTTATGAGCAACTGGTTATCGTAATGGTGTTAAGACACCTTAAAGAATGCCGATGTATTGTACAGACATAGTATTTAATATAATAAATATAGATTAATTTAAAATGCTTTCATGCTCAAATTTGATTCGTTGAAATAAGAAAATGTGTCGATTGATCAAGAAAACCGATGAAATTGGTAAGCAGGTGTTCCTGGAAGTTTTTGCAGGTTGAGAAAAGGTTTCCACCAGGTGTGTACATGACCATATTTGGTCTTGATTATTTTTAACAGTATATCTGGACTAAGAGTTAAATGTTTCGATTCACAACGTCTGAAACACATGAAAGATTTGCCGGATTTCGGCAGCCAGTTATCCATAATGTGATAGGAATCTTGTCCATCAATTATTATACTGTCACAATCGGAAAATCCGTCCTCCACGTACATGGAACGGAATGTCGCAAACGGATGCGACGACATGTCTTGCGTAAACCGTAAATTAGACACGACAATTTGAGTCTCTTCTAGAGCGGAGACTAGTCGAATTTCGGCATAATTGCCGTCATTATACCATACATACATGATGGAATTTATGGGGTCTATTTGAACATTAGAAATCGGGGCATAAGGCCGATGGTCGTAAGGATCCGTGGCACCAATGATAACTGACGTTCCAAACGGAATCCAATCTAAACCTGGAGGCGGAAGCTGTAATAGACGTACATTTCCATCCTGATACATCACAAAAATCTGCGCGAAACTTTTCTTCGACCATGGCACTGGACGCGAAATTCTAAAATAGGCAACGCCGTCGTAGGATTTGGCTTCTGGAAGTCCGTTTGGTGCCATTGTGATATTCATCGATTCCGGTGCACGCCACCAAAAATCCATATACACCACTTCAACTATGATTTTTTCGTTAAAGAAGACCATTTGGGTACGCTCTGGTTTCATAGGACGTCTTTCCAACCTTAGCTCAGCAACTGTTATGATAGACGCGTCATCTTGGGTTGTAAACGACAAGGTTACAATGTTGTCCAACGTTTCAGACCAAGTAAAATCTGGAATACTTACATTTTTTAGTCTTTCACCAGGAAGAAATGCAAAAGTGGGAAGATTTAATTTTGATCCCGCTCTACCATTCACGGTAACTTCTGCAGCTACGATCGTATTCACCGGCTCTATCAAAATCGTTAGAATTGAGCCAATATTAGCATCAATATGACCCTCAGACTGACCCCTCAATGCGAATGTTATCGTAGCTATTTTGGACCACTTGGGAAGAGTAGACTCATTCATAATGGTCATTACGGCCGAATCGTCCTCGTACGAAGTGACACGAGAGGGCAGCACGACGTTTTTAAACGTCCAATAAGTATGAGGTAAAAAGGAGCATCCGGCTGTATTCTTTCCGCGTCGATTTTCAAAGGACCGGTATGTAGGGAGGGTGGCGGTGACTGAATATTCCAAAATCCCTTGCAACACAATAGGTATTTTAACATTGTCCTCCTCGGCACATTTTGTCGGATAGCTCGACTGTGATGCTACACCATGTTGCGGTAAGTATGTATTACCATGAGCTATATAAGGTTGTGTGGATTGACACATTAACGAACAGTCCAATAAATCTTTAGATAGTCGCTGATCTGAAAAGTCCGCTTGAACTCTATCTATCTCTAAAGCATCACCAGCCGCAAGTTTGAGCTTCAATACGTGCCATCCACGCAGAAGTTCCAGTCCTTTGTTGATCGTGGCGTTTTCGAACACGTTCCACCTCGTACCCCAGGAGGTTAGATCACGTGAGGCAAAAGAGGAGATCAGAAAATCGTCGAGATATAGAAAGCATTCATCAGCTTTACCGTCGTTAGAAAACACAATATCCTTTACAAACACAGTCGTCTTTTGTCGTAGACAAAAATGAAACGATACTGTTTTTCCTCCGCCTAATCGTACAACAGTACCGGTAGTGGAACCGGAACGTAAATGTATAGTGTTGTTACCACGAGCATCAGTAGAATAAAATGAGAACTCTACACAGTTTGTGAGCTTTAACATCACCAAAATACTCCAAATAAGGACTTTGTACAACATTTTTGTTGAATACTTCCAGAGTTTTTTTAAATTACGGAATCAATAGCTATACCAATGTCAATTTCACCACCAAAATTCAACAAAATTAATTACACATGATGCTTACTAAGATTTTGTTGAACAATATCCAACCCAACTTCACCTCGAGGATGTCAAAGTAGCTGATAATATCATGTTATTTGGAGCAATATTTACATTGCACGACGCTGTATTTACCAATCCATCAAATAAATGACAATATATCTACGTAATTAATCGTACCTATAAAGTTCATTGAGGACATTTATTACCAATTACCCTTCCTTTATACGTTTTTTTTTCTTTTTTTCTTACGATTCCTGGTACCATTCCACCACTTCCGTTTCAAGTTTCAACTGGTCTCTTTATCATAATATACACTCAACTGGTATGAAAGACACTTTTACCGTCTGAAGCACAGTTTTCGTCGCTTAACACAAAATCAGCCCTGGATATTTTTTCTTCCTGGAAAAATGGAAACTTTTTAAAAAAAATTAATATTGCCAACAAACAGCATATTAATAGGTAGTTTCAATGTTATTTATTGATTTTACTCTGTTACTTTAATCATAATATAAATCACTTACCGCTGTTGAAAATTTATAAAACGGGGCATATATATGCATTTTAACCGTAATTTTTTGTTGTCGAACCTAAACCTTTGATAATCCTGCAAAATACTGTAAAATTAGTGCAATGTTCTTTTCTAGAATTTTTTTTATTACTTGTCAAATTACGGCCCAGGTTCAATTACTACTAGGCTCGTTGGTTTATCCAAGTTTTTTGGTTGATTGTTTTACTGATCAAAGGAAAGTTGAAATCCCCAAGACATTACGATAGAAATTCAATGAAATGTAAAGGCGATGAAAACAAAGTATAATCTGAATAACAAAGCCCGCATAATTAACAACTCCTTGAAAATAAACATGTCGTAAAGTCAAGACTTGCAACTTTTATCAAACAAATCCAATTTACAAGACGGTGAATAAAACATTCCTCGAGGCCGTTAAATTTATATATTAAGTTTCTGAACATCTTGTGAATTTGATTTTTGCACTGTAAGATTAGCAAGATAATCTTTAGCTACGTAGACTCTTATTAAGTCCTAGTCGTTCGAGACTCCACGAACTATAGGTTGTGCACTTTAAGGACACATAGATATTTGAAAATCGAGTAGGATAAATAGGATAGATATTGTTATAGCCCACAGGAAAAACCCGCAAGAAGTGATCTAGATTTACATATTAAATCAGGTTAGAATCTGGTCTTGTATCTGGAATTTAATATCAATGAAGTTATCTAATCACTTCGAGGCTTCTCTTCCTCTTGACATTACTGTGTTATCGTTCTTGGACAAACAATAGAGCAATTCTTTAGCATGTTCAATTGATAGAGTACACAATATGGCTTCTAATGGATCCTGGAAACAAACATTTTTCCACATAGTTCATTTTCATCTCATCTAGTTTCAAGTAAATAACATCTTTACCTATTTTCATGTTGACACACAATCTAAAGAGCGTTCTCTATGACTTAGCAAGTTGGCCGCTTGATTGCTAACCATTACGGGTCTTATTAGGCCTAGGCCTATATTTTACAAGGATAACAAGTAAGGTTCACAGTTAAGGATCCTTTCTACCAGCTGCTCCTTGGCCACACCTCACGGCATCGATCGTTCCCGGATTATTTGTACCCATTTACTGCTGGGTCGACTGTGCCTGATGATGATGTTATGTGATGCAAGCCGGTAAGGCTGAATAAGAAGAGCAATCGATCAGGATAGGTCACGAATTGAGGCCATGTGTACTGTATAATTGGCTTATTTAGTGGGCTAGTGCCGCTTTCTTGACATAGTTGTCTTCTGTATCCTCAACAATATGTTGCTATCCTAGCACACTGCATGACCTTGGCCCTCTTTCTTTCCAAAAGAGGACTTAAAACTCGGATACATTTTTATCTATATATGTTATTTGCTTGGCCTGTTAACATATGTTATGATATTGGGTAAAACTGTGATATGTCATGTAAAATGATGTATGGATATAGATTGTAGATGTTATAAGACTTTGACAAATGACAGGGAAGTGATAATTATTATAAAATATCACAAAAATCAAAAAATTTTTTGTGAGACTTTTAATGTTATGAGAGAATGAATAAACCAAATACTTACGATCCGAACCGCAAACCGCGAAATCTAAAACAACATTTTGGCGAAACATTGACAGCAGCTAATGATCTTTTTACATAAGGAAGTATATCAATCATAAGTGAGTAGGTATTTCATAATGAAAAGTCGTTTCAGGTGTCTAGAATAGTAAGCACCACTTAAATGATATGTTTTTCTTGAATATTGGTATCGTCCTATGTAGCAACTGTATTATACAATTGGACAACTAGATTTTAGCAAGTAGTATAGAGAATCGTTGTACCAAGGTAGAGTTGAATAATGGATCTGAGATCTTGGTTCTCAACTTGTGTCACTTGTGTCCAATTTTAGTATTTGAGGGTAACTCAGGCGGTATTAAATAACGCACAGGCTATGCACCGTCACGATGCGAGTTTTCTTTGGCTGCTAACAACAGTAGGGACAAGATAGGACAAACTAGGCGCGCCAGTTTTTGGTTTTCTTTGATTGTCAAGAATGATATCAAGTGACTTTGTTAGGGTTAGGTAGAGATGACCATATGTTGTTTAATGCCATTTCTGTACCGTCACGGTACGAATAGCCACGGCCATTAAATAAATCTCTAAAAGTGTGGCACTTGATAACCTTCTTTAATTGTCTAAAGCGTATTGATGTATAAGTTTCAACAGTAACGGCATACACCTCTGTTGAAGGTGCCATTATATCATGACGTCCGTCCTCTCACCACTGAAAACTGTTCACTATATATAGTATGGGCCGAGGGTACCAGGGTAGGTATATGAAGATAGAGTATAAACGTTAGGGAATTATTAGGATCTAGGATACCAAGTACGCTTCAAAAGTAGTTAAATTTTTACGTCTTTGTCATTGTTTTTACGGTTGCGTATAATCCCTATTAGAGACAATAATAGCAATATTTGCAAAGATTCTTACTCGTTATAAATTGTTCATAACAAAGTTTTAATTCTAGTGTCAATTATATATTTGACATTAATTATATATTAAACAAGGGATTGTAAAGTTTTTTCAAAATTTGTCTGTGTATCGGGGACACTGATAGCATCAATTTGCACCATTTCGATTTTCAATCAGACGCCCGTCATTCCTGCAATTCCACTGAAACTAAGTCTTTGATGACGTCACTAATTGCAAAATGGCACATAAACGCTTAGTTTGAAATGCAGGAACCACGTATGTTTGATTGAAAATTGGAATGGTGGAAATTGATGCTATCAGTGCTATCCCTTTACTATCTCTTTAAGTGCAAAACACCAGTGCAAATAATATCAACATACCAATAAATAAATCATATAAATTAGGTTACTTGTGTCATATTTTGATCATACTTCGGAACAGCATTCCATAATCTATCCATGTTACTCTATTTGTGGTTCTTTATAATCTCTATACATATAAATGTCGTTTATACCATGATTAAAATATACATGTAATCATCTTTTTATTCGGTATCTGTTTTGGGAGTTATTACTTGAAAGTGTCAAAATATGCAAATAAAGTTCCGCCAAATATTGTAACTAAAAAATATAAAGGTTCAAGTATTTCTTGCTGTTCTGCCAAATTTTAGCGCCCTTCTTGTCCTTATATGGCAACTGTCAAAATATCTGTTATTAATCTGTTGCAAATGAGGCCTCTGTTCGCTGTCCCATACAAACGACTGAGAGATTATTTTATTGCCTTTTGGCAAAGGGACACGTTTAGCAACGGTGTACGGTAGACCTTGATGTAAGCCGTTTTCCTTTAACAACAGTGTTCAATAGACTTTGAGGTTGGCCGTTTTCCTTTAACAACAGTGTACGATAGACTTTGAGGTTAGCCGTTTTCCTTTAACAACAGTGTACGATAGACTTTGAGGTTAGCCGTTTTCCTTTAACAACGGTGTACGAAAGACTTTGATGTAAGCCGTTTTCCTTTAACAACGGTGTACGATAGACTTTGATGTAAGACGTTTTCCTTTAACAACAGTGTACGATAGACTTTGATGTAAGCCGTTTTCCTTTAACATTGGTGTACGATAGACTTTGAGGTTAGCCGTTTTCCTTTAACAACGGTGTACGATAGACTTTGAGGTTAGCCGTTTTCCTTTAACAACGGTGTACGATAGACTTTGATGTAAGCCGTTTTCCTTTAACAACGGTGTACGATAGACTTTGAGGTTAGCCGTTTTCCTTTAACAACGGTGTACGATAGACTTTGAGGTTAGCCGTTTTCCTTTAACAACAGTGTACGATAGACTTTGATGTAAGCCATTTTCCTTTAACATCGGTGTACGATAGACTTTAGGGTTAGCCGTTTTCCTTTAACAACGGTGTACGATAGACTTTGAGGTTAGCCGTTTTCCTTTAACAACGGTGCACGATAGACTTTGATGTAAGCCGTTTTCCTTTAACAACGGTGTACGATAGACTTTGAGGTTAGCCGTTTTCCTTTAACAACGGTGTACGATAGACTTTGAGGTTAGCCGTTTTCCTTTAACAACAGTGTACGATAGACTTTGAGGTTAGCCGTTTTCCTTTAACAACAGTGTACGATAGACTTTGAGGTTAGCCGTTTTCCTTTAACAACGGTGTACGATAGACTTTGATGTAAGCCGTTTTCCTTTAACAACGGTGTACGATAGACTTTGATGTAAGCCGTTTTCCTTTAACAACGGTGTACGATAGACTTTGAGGTTAGCCGTTTTCCTTTAACAACAGTGTACGATAGACTTTGAGGTTAGCTGTGTTCCTTTACTTCAGCAACAATGAATGATAGACTTTGAGGTTAGCTGTGTTCCTTTACTTCAGCAACAATGAATGATAGACTTTGAGGTTAG